ATAGCTGGTGTGGAGGACTAACTGCTGCAGGAGACGGAGCCTAAGCTGACTTTGTTGGTCAGACAGAGCAGGAGTGATAATGGTCTGCCTGGCCTCTCCCAGATCCTGTTACACTGCTGGGGACACACAAGCTGCTCTGTATTTAGCAGCAGTCCACTCTGCTGTGAGCGTACACTGTAACTGTGCTGCTGCCTTCCGCCTCACAACAAACATCCGACGAAACAAATGGCTACAGAGAAAGTCAACGTGTTTGTACTGAGTCTCCTTCTGAAAGTAGCCATCGCTTAACCCGCTGTTAACCCGCTAACGCATGGCAATATAAGGATGTTGTCGTAACGGCATAGTAGGAGTAGAGTCACAGTAGAGTCTTAGCTATCTCTGATTGAATTTTCCTTCTACTCATTTCTCTCAGACCTTGAGTCAACATCAAGTCATACTTATTTAACATTAGTATTAAGATTACTAACAACAAATTGTAATCTCATAAAGAGGTGTTCATTATCATCTCATTAAATTAAATGCCCTGTTTTTACTGTTGTTGTTTTTTTTTTAAACACCTTCTGCCTGTGAGCGTCCAGTCTACCCTAAGCCCAGTTTTATGGACAACCAAAAGCAGCCAATCAGCTGACCTCAGACTCAGGCACGAAGAGATGACACTCTTCAGACATTTTTTTCACTCATGAGACTTTAAAAAATAAACCTGTGGTCTAAAGGGAGCCACTGAAGGAACAGACACAGTCGGTTAAATGTGCTCGTGTGCATTGTGGGTATACTGAAGATGGTTCAAGGATACTGAGCAGTAGTAGTAATACTGTAAACCATGTATTCTTAGGTTGGAAATCTGCCTTATTTATAGAAAATCTTTTTACGGACAGAGCCGGTTGAATTACTCTGTGTTATTTTAGTCGTTTTCTTTTATTAAGCGTGCCTTGGAGACAAGGTTATAAGAATAAAACTAAGTCAATTTGGTTTTCTTCTTATTTAAAACAAACAAACAAAAACCACTCTGACCTCAATGATATGAAGGACAGACAGGTTGTTAGTGTTCCTGGGCCAGAGGTACTTAAATCTGACAATCAATCAGAAAGAAATCGTAAGAACAGACTGAAGTAAACAGAAAATGTCTACATTACTGTGGCTACAGGAATGGACTCAGTCCAACAGGCATCTTATATATAATCCAGCTGATGCACTAAATGTTAAACAACAAAGATCCACAATATCTTAATAAAAGGAAAAATAATCTAAATATAGAGAAAAAAGACAATATGATTAAATGTAAACTGCTGTGTTTTTTTTCCAGCTGACATCACAATGGACTGAAGAATAAATTTCGCTCTAAAGTACACTGTCATTTTAGGATTTATTATGTATACCCAGCTCGTCTCTCAGACAGGACCCTGTAAGGTTGACAAAGTGACACAGACAGTCTTGTCTGACACACACATACTCTGTGCAGCATGATGAGATGCTAATCACATTTCCCTCTTTGCCCTCTCTGAAAAGAATGACACTGACAGAAAAGGAAAAAGAAACAATGCCCTTCGCGGTGTTCACGGAGACAAGGTGAACCACAGGTGGAACGAGGACGATGTTTGTACAACGTCGAAGAAGTGAGTCGGAAAACCGGGTTCGCCAGGAATTGAAGACGTTACAGGTCGGAGCAGTTTGTCGGTTGGTGTTGGTGGCGAGGAGAGAGGGAACACGCCGTGCAGGAACAAGCTGCTGATTTAATAAAGAGACAATATTAATGGCTGGTTTGGAACAGCGGGGTCTGCTGAAGGAACGGAGCTAAAATATCTATTAGGATTATGTAAGGGTAGAAGATGAAGTGGTGCCAAACCTGAGGCTCCCCTTTACAAGTATATTAGTGTTTAAAATGTCAATATTTAATATGGATGACATTGTCAGTTAATTAAATCAGCTGTGATGCAGTTGCTAGCGAAATACTTGTAAAAATAAAATGATCTTTTTCTCGTAAGTGTTGGTATCGGCTAAATTCAGCTGTGAAAGGGGAGAGCAAATGTTCTAAAGAGAAATTCTCCATATATTAATTTGACAGTTTATTACTGGTGCTGTGCTGTGCCCACCAAATCTGAGAGTGTGATTCTGGACCCACCCATCACACGGATGGTCGTCTATTGTCATTTTGACAAGCGACCAATCCAATCAGTTTGAGTGATGACAGGGTGGACATGTGCTAATTAGCATCAGCAGCAAGTGTAGAACAAAGGAGACTGCTTTTTTTGTGCTTCGTCATTTCAGGCACTATGTGTGTGTGTGTGTGTTTAGTTTAATATGAGATTTGTATCAAAGATGTTCGCATTTTAGTGTGCATGGTTGTGTGTCAGTGTGTGCAAGGAAGTACACGTATTTGTGAAAATGTGGTCATGTACACACATCTTGTGTGTCTGTGTGTGTGTGTGTACTCATGTGAGTTTACAGGGATAATGAATGAATCATAACCAGTTGGATGGAGCCTGTGGGCAGGGTGGCATTAGTTCATCACAGGTCAGACAAGTCGCCCACACACGGCGAGCTACATTTAGAGCACGGCACCGTGTTTCCGATTTTGATGATGATCAAACACAAATTCCTCTGCAGCTCAAAGACGTTGGAGGGAAGAAATCAATTTTTTTTTTTAGTTTTAAGCTACAGAGCAGATTCTTCCTGCGTGCTTCTAAAGTTAATAACACTGACGCTAAAAACAGTCTGCCGGAGCATAAAAGACGCCCTATAATTTTGTCATACGAGGAGGAAGCCATACATCATAATTGTACAAAATTGCTGAAAATCTCCCTAAAACTGCAGTCTTTTGACGTGGCCCAAAACACAAGGGAAACTGCAATAGATGCAAAGAACAGAATCTGTGTTACTCATTAGCGTCACAGATGCATGAGTAACCAAGAAATAGGGCACAGGCGTTTATGTAAAATGACAACGAATGCAGAAAAGTACATTAGAAGAGCGCAGACAAGAAACTTTAGAGAATTCTCATGGCATTTCTCCCCAGGACTCTGTAGGAACTCATTCTGCACAGATTACCAAAACATTTCTCCGTAGTGTGTCTGTCTGTGTGCTTGTCTGGCACGTAGTCTGAAATATTCCTCTATTGTGAATATCCGGTGCATCACAAAGAGGAGACTGACAAGGCTGTCCGAGGACTGTAAGCTAAGCTGGAGTCCTTTAAACAGCCAGTGACTGCAGTCCATTTTCATTTAAATTAGTTTCTGTTCAACAAACAGAATTAAGTTTGTCAATGAAAACACTGACTAAAGTCTCCTCTTTATCCTCCATGTCCAGTGACTAAACCATCAAGTGAACAAGGAAAAGTGTTGGATTTTTAGAGCACGCCTGCTTGTTTGATAACTGGTTTGATATTTTGAGCTGCTGTACAAACAAATGCCAAAAACAGAGCCAAGATTTCTTGGGTTGTACAGTTGTAGAGCTTACAGAACCATGACGAGAATTAAAGCATGGGAAACATGAAACTCCGTTCAGTGGTCTAACGGAAGAAAACCATCCTGTGTTGTTCAGTGTATTTGTTTCAAGCTGGATTTTACGCTGAGGTTATTGTTGCCAACCTTTCACAACCGCTGGAAGTGTGAAATTCCAAAAAGAAATCTAGGAAAAGTGTTGACCACATACAGCAACAGCTACCTGGTTTTATCTGTGCTTCACACCTGGCATCCTGCGTTCGCCTCATATAATCTCTGTGTCCTTCATCCAATTTATCTCATCCCTTCTTTAGGCTTTTGCAGGCTTACTGGAAAAAAAAAACCTCCCCTTGCCTTCCCCCGTTTCATCTCCCTGCATCCTTTTCCATCCTCTCCACAGTCTCTAGAACACCCTCACCTCCACGTCCTGACCCTTCTTCTCTCCATCTCATCAACTCCTCAGACACTGTGTCTCACTGGTACTCCCTCATTACAATGCCCATGGTGCATCACCACTCCATCTCACCGTAATGGATTTCCAATGCTTCGACCATCTCACCTGCCACGTGCTCATGTCTCCTCCCTGGGTATCATCACTCTGTAAAAGCTGTTTAGAAATGCATGAATCCTTTCTGTGTTATTGTACTCGTTCCATCATTACTCCCAGTCCCAGGAAAGAGCCGCCGTCCAAACCCCACCCCCCGTTCCCCCTGCTCCACCTGCTTATGCTGCATTGAGTCAAAGTGATGGACGCCACTGCAACATCCCAGGATCTATTGAAATGACTTATTATGTGGCGATAATACATCTGGCAGAGAATGCCAGAGTGTTATTCTCTCATCATGACTTTGTGAGTGGAACATTAGCTGCAAGAAATGGATTTGGCTTTGGAATCACACCATGTGCCAAATTTCTCAGGAAATATTTTGCCAGACTAAAAACATTGTGCACATTATCTCTTCCGGTTCCTTAAAATCACATTTGATTTTATGTAAAGTGTAAAAAGTAAACGCTGTCTGCTGTGTTTTGTCTCGGGAAACTTTCCATGCACTGCTGCACTGTGTGGGTTTGAATTCAAATTTGTCGCTTTCCTTCACACTGCTCTTTAAACATTGTGCGTGCAGATGGACTGCGAACAGAAACTGTAAGATCACACACGCAGACACAGCTGTGCGCACATAATATGCATGCCAATCAAGTCGCTTACATGGCCGTCATTTTAACCATCTGAAAACATTTCATTCCTCTCCACCGCAGAGTTCTTGGCGTGATGGAGGCAGACTGTGTCTGATTCATGGCCGAGCTCACACCCACACATGCCTTTCATATCACTGCAAAAATAAACACTTGCAAAGCATATCGCCACCATAAACACCCCCTCCTCCTATTCATGCTGGTGTTCATTTGGTTTCCAGTGCCGCCAGAGTCCAGTGTGTAAAAATGAGTTCCATCTAATGGTAAGACTGCACAAAGGCCATCTTCACCTTTTCTACACACACAATCACATCTACACCTGAATTCATTTGTATTATTATTTACTTGTTATAATGAAAATGTGGTTACCTTTGGTGTTTTGGTGCACTTTCCATTTCTGGCATCTTTAATGTAGGCTATGTCCAGAAGGTCTGTATCCTGCAAACAAGGACAAACACACCATCAAACAATGTCTGTGTTATTCACACACAACAACTTTCACAGTCCACGAACAAGGAATTTTGCACACACACACCTGCCACCTGTTTCACAAACAAAATCCTTTTGTGGGTGTGTGCAAAATAGCAAACGGAACAGAAGGGCAACATTAACCTGGAAGTCGTTCAGCAAACATGACAGATTTCACACATGCACAAACACAAATGCTTAGCATTTGACGAAATTGTCATTAATTGTCACCACCTAAATTGTTTTAGCCGGGGGGGAAAAAAAAGGTTAGATGCAGATCACTTCACACATTCATCATGTTCTGCTGCTGCAGGATACGCTGCCATAACCCTGGCACAGCTTGGCTGCACCGAGCTGTTTAGATGACAGACACCAGGGTTAGTACATTTTTAAATGAGATGGAAACACCACAAACATTATTGATATTTTGATTTACCAAGAAGGTAAAGTAAAGCATTTTAAGTAAATGGAAACCTTGGCTCCACTGTTGATTCGTTATTGATATGGCAATGTGAGAAGCGATGTTGAGTCTTTTTCTTACATTTTACATCCCACTGTGGCGACGAAGGCTGGCAGGAACGTTTCTTTAAAATGTTTTTTAACAGACATCAAAAACTCGCGATGTGCCTCCGTATCTGCAAAACTTTATTCTATTCAAATGACAGATCCTTCCTAGTTTCGATATATATTTTTCTCTTTTCTCACCTTTTGTTTGAAACATTCCGTACTTGTTCACACTGCTGCTGGCCAGACACTGAGTTAGCAGTTCATATATATACAAAATGTAATTCTGCAGAAAGATTGGCTGCCCTGCCTCAGTCGCCGTGTCCCTTCATCTGTCTGGAATATCTCTTTATCTCTCTAAGAGGGAGCCGGGGCATGAGGTGGAAAATTAACCAGAGTGAACTGTGTGTCCACTCAGCATTATCTGGGGAGAAGGGGAGCAACAGCGGCTTGACTCAATCCGAGGCTGCAAATGCCTGTATCTGACGATCTCAAGGCCATAAGCTCGGTAGAAAATTGCAAGAAGATTTTCTCCTTATCTACAAGTCAATACCCTTTATCCACGCCTCAGTGGCCACACAGGGTTATTTTCGTATTTGCAAATATATATACGTTTTTAAAAAGTGCACACTTGCTTTTGTTTTCTATTATTGCCAGATATAAATCTGGATTTAAAAGTCATTTTGACACAAAATGACTTCAAATTTGACAGAAATCCATATATATCGTCACTACTTCTTGTGACACAATAGACAATCAAAACCAATCACAAAAGATGATCAGATAGTACACTGTGCTCCCTCTGTTGACTGACTGTATTGCCTCACCCCCCCCCCGCCCAACATTAAGAAGGATTAAGCAGCAGAAGATGAATGAATTAAATAAATGAAAAATGATAACAAACTGTTATGTCGTTATTCTTCCATTCTTATACTGCCTAACCTTTTTCAGGGTCATCTGGGAACTGGGGTCAGTTATTGAGCAAGGAAAGAATGGACTGAACCGGCAAACGTCCTCATAAAGAGCAAGAGCGTTAGCCAATTTTCACCATGTAGCCCCTATCTCCACATAAGAGGCAGCAATCAAAACAGTTTGTTTGGCGACTGTGGTCCACAAGGACACAGTCTCCCCTCAAGTATTTCGTCTGTCTGTTTGTGGAGCAGAGTTTATAAGCCAAAGGTCAAAGTCGACATCAGGTCTGTAAATACCTGCCTTTGAAGTTACTTTGGAGAGATGGAATGCCACCTGCAGGTCTGCAGAAACAGTGGGGCTACAGGAAGCAGCTCACTGATGTGGTCTTCTCTCCGGACCCTCTGGGTGTGCACATTTAATGCAGCTCTGACCAGGTTCTTACTGCTTACTTTTTTAAACATAAAGCCAAAAAAAAACCAAAAAACGACTGAAGCCAAAACTGCAATATCCTAATTCCTGAGTGAATACAGAAATTATTGTTAAACTTATTTAGCTGACAGTCGTACACGTCATGAATCTGTCACTTGGGCTGCATTTATAGTAGCACCTGCAGAGATAAGAGGGGAACCAGAAGAACATTATAGTAGCACCTGCAGAGATAAGAGGAGAACCAGAATGGATGCATACTTTTATTTTTTGTCTTTCACTTCTTTGTTTTTAATGTCTTCTTTCTCTTTGTGCATCAAAACGGTGCCTCCACTTTGCCTATCAACGTCAGGTAGGTAAGCAGGACCAGCGGGGTTAGAACGACGGGAATTAATGAACACACTTAACCTCAGCTGGCTCTGGGCCCTGTTCTTCTCTCTACTTGTTTGTCTGTACAGTCCTTGTTCACAGAACACATGCACTGTGCTGCCTTCCTCTTAAAATTAAAGCCATTATTTATAAAATAGGGGGCAAAGAGAGACATTTCCTGAAACTTTATTATTGATCTAAATGTTCCGGTTGTCAAATGTACCACTTTAAATTATTATTAGAGGGATTAGTAAATGGATGTGCTTGGATATTCACACTATTTGTTTAAGAGGAAATTATTTGTCACAAACAGATAAATTAAAATGAATGTGTGCAGTAATATTCAGGTTGTACACGTGCAAAACTGTGTATATAAAATACTTTAGGTGACACAACCTGACTCCATGGGTTTTAATTAAAAAAGGCAGAGGAAATTTGGCTGCTGTGATTTAGGAGTGATACTATTGTTAAGTTAAATTTATCCTCTGAAGCAAAAAGCTATCACAGCCTAAACGGCATTAGCTCAGGTTGGAATCGCTGGTGTTTGAAAAAATAGTCTGAAAAAGAATCTGACTGAAGGTTGAAAGGAAAGAAAGGAGTAAGTGTTACTGACAGCCACAGGTTAGCCTGCTCATTTGTTATTCTGTGGGTTCAAAATGAAAATGCACTCCGCGGAGCTCAAGGCCACTGCTGAGCAACAGTGACATGAAAAGGTGGAAAGGAAGGCAAATGAAGGGCTGGGTTTTGGAAAGAAAAAAAAAGTCTGTCTTGTCAAGGCCAAAGTGGAGGAAAAAATACAGTTAATCCACGCTGAGTGCTACCGGTAAGAGCTGAAAACAACATTTTCAATCTGCCAGCATGACTGTGTTGTGGTGTGGTTGTTGGGGTCAAGAGGTCATATAGACCAGAGGACCCCAACTATTTTGGACTGTATCGCTGCACTGAAAGATCATTCAAGGAGCATTAATGATTAGTACATTTTTAAAATGTTCTTTTTAAATGAAGTAAATTATGAATTATGTCCTGGTCACCCCTGATATAGACTGCATTGGTTTAACATTGCAGGGTGACCTGCGAAACCCTCATGCCTTCCTGTGGCCAAAAATAAGCTCCAGTAGAAACACAATGTCAGGTGGAAGCCAAGAGAGGCTCTCTGTGTACATAAACTGCAACTTGGAATGTAAATCAATGGAAGGATGAGACAGGGGAGAAGAAAACATACGGTGCAGGAGTTCATAAAAGCCATGGCATAACTAATAAAACCATTGGGTTTCTAATGCACAGGGACCTTCAAAGGCCTGTAGCCTCAGGTCAGCGAGGTGCTCGCAGAGACACGTCTCTTAATCATGAACAAACCCGCTGCTCCTGTGAATAAAACCCACTACAGCCGTACTTTTGCTCTGCCTGTCTCTGTAAGTGGCCCTTCAGTAACACACAACATGTACTGTTATGGTAGAAGCAGTTGGTGGAGAGCTGTGCTTGAACTTGGTGGAGAGTCACACATCCACTCGGGGGTTTTCTGAAGAGCGACAGAAACAGACGTGGAGCAGAAAAAGTCACACGGCTTTACACCAAGAGTGGTCTGACACCAGAGAATACATGCTGCAAAAATATGCATTTTACATAAGCAAATGTGCACGTACACCTGTTCTTCAACAAAGGTCACTGCAGTCAGTGTCTTAGTCTGTGTTCTAAGGCTGTCTTTTATATAATTTTTTTTATTAACATTAGTTTCCCTCTCTGCTGTTTAACATAGATTTAAGAGATTAGTGAAATGTATTTGTTCACATACTAGGTATATATGTATTTATATAGTCGTTTGTGCTGCACTGTCAACATCTAAAAACTCCTGAGGGTCAAGTACATGCTGGTTTAAAAAACAGTAATAAAAATATATTCCTGTAATTAAATCTGTATTTCAGCCGTCAGAACCGAAGGTCGTCGGCAACACGACTGACTAATATCTCATATTTTGCCATGTGAAATATTTTTAATCAAGCCACTCTTGCCTAGACTTTGAAGAATCATAAATTGTGCATAAGTAATTCTGCATATAAGCAGAATTCTCATTCGGCTCGGCCGCGCTGAGTTTCCTTTTTATTCATTTCCTCTGTGATAATTATTCCATTCCTTCTCCGGGTGCCTGCAGCCTGTCGATCCTTATTGTAAATACTATAAATAGACTACACTGGTTACACCCTGATTACAGTACACGTTCAATGTCACCATGCTTTCCTTTGTTGTCACCTTCACATCATGTGCCATTACCATTAAATCTGATTACGTCCTGCTCTGCAGCCGAGCCGAACCTTCTTCATGGCAATTACAGCCCAAAGAGCTTAGACACAATTTTTAATTTGAATCCAAGCAGGAACAGATAACACAACACAGGAGTGGATTTTTGGGACAAAAATAGAAAATGTCGAAATTGCTTCCTGGAGCGTAAAAAAAATCACCCTTTATATAAAGATGTTTTCTTTACAATAACTAGTCTCCTGTGGCCAATGGAAATGAGTGGATGAATTGAATATGAGTTAAACTAATTAAAAGCAAACAGGGGAAAAATGCACCCAGTTTGATCCATCTAAAACATAATAATAATAATCACTCCTTTAACAGCAGGTCTGTGTTCGTTTGTACAAATGCATAACGTTGGACTGAGAAGCAAATGGAACCATACGACGCTGGTAATCTGTTCATGGTCAGACAATTAGGAAAAAGGACAAAGAGCTCAAAGGTCATTAAGCAGAAAAGAAACA